TTTTTTTTTGAGATGGAGTCTATGGTCCTTCCCCCAGCCTGGAGTGCAGTGCACGATCTTGGCTCACTGCACTCTGCCTCCCAGGTTCAAGCAATTCTCCCACCTCGGCCTCCTGGGACTACAGGTATGCACCACCATGCCTGGATAATTTTTTTATTTTTAATAGAGATGGGGTTTCACTATATCAGCCAGGCTGGTCGCGAATTCCTGACGTCGTGTGATCTGCCCACCTCAGCCTTCATGACTACATCTTCCAAGCCTCAGACATAAAACAGCGGGAGCAATACCTACTCCTTAGGGTTGCTGTGAAGATTATGGACATGAAAGTGCCTTACCAATAATAAAGCACTCAACAAATGTTAGAGGTTACAATGATATAATCAACTATGATACCAGGGGCTTAACTGTCATCGCTTACCCAGCATGTACCAGCATGTATGAGATAAACCTCCAGGCTTCCTCCCTCTTCTCAGGACTGTAGATAAAGGGACTCTCCAAGATGCCTGTGTCCAAGGTGATCCACTGTTTCTGAGGCTTCCACACAGCATAGTAAATAAACACTGCCAGCTGACGGAGGGAGCAGACATGAGTGTTAACCACACTGTCTCCAGAGAGGGGCCCCATTCAGGCCCATGGGCAGTAACTGTTTCAGATGATTCAGCTCTCAAGTGGGCCACACCACAGAGCCAGAAGATGACATGAAATACACTTCTTCACCATCCCCCGCTGTGATGGTTTCCACCATACCCCACTTCCTCCGATGGTTGGGAGCAGTGCTAGCTCATATTGTAAGGAAGACTTTCTGAACCCCTTTTGCCCTGTTCTTGGACCCCCTGCTCTCTGGCACTACGTTCTCTACTACCCTCTCACTCTTAAATACCCACTGCCCTCATCGTCACGCCAACTGATCTTTCATTTACAACTTCCTATGAAAGTAGGTCAATGCTGGCTTCCGAATAATAGAGCAGGGAAAGGGAAAAATAATCGCTTGCAAGGGGAGAGACCTGGCAAACCCTCCCTTAACCAAGGGATGGAGGTGAATGTCCCAGTGATGCCATGTGATGTCCTCAACTTTCTGAGGCTATGTGATGGGAAGAGCCCTTCACCTCCATGGTATTCTTCTCCCAAACTCATAACTCCAGTTAAATCATGAGAAAAGCATCAGTCAAACCCCAGCTGGGGGATATTCTACAGGATCCCTAGCCAGTCCCCCTCAAGACTATCAGAGTCATGAAAAACAGACTGAGAAGCTGCCATACATAGATCAGAGGAGCCTGGGAGACATGACAGCTAAATGCAGTGGATACCAGAGGAACAGAAAGAGGCCATTAATGGAGAAACTGGTAAAAATCCAGATAAATCTGGAGTTTAGTTAGGAATATGCCAATGGCACTTTCTTAGTTTTGACAAACGTACTATGGGGCCAGGTGCAGTGGCTCATGCCTATAATCCCAGCCCTTTGGGAGGCTGAGGCAGGCGGATCATCTGAGGTCAGGAGTTCAAGACCAGCCTGGCCAACATGGCCACATCTCTACTAAAAATACAAAAAAAAACAAAAAACAAAAAAAACTAGCCAGGCGTGGTGGTGCACACCTGTAATCACAGCTACTTGGGAGGCTGAGTCAGGAGAATCACTTGACCCTGAGAGTCAGAGGTTGCAGTGAGCTGAGATCACGCCACTGGCATTCCAGGCTGGGCAACAGAGCAACTCCGTCTCAAATTAAAAAAAAAATACATACACACACACACACACACACACACACACACACACTATGGAAATGTAATGTACTATATACAGAGATTATCCTGGGTTTGAAAAAAAAAAGAAAACCAATGCAATGTACTATGGAAATGTAGGATATAAACAATGGGAGAAACTGGGTGAGGAGCATACAGGAACTTTCTATTTTATCTAAAAGTTTATTTGAAAATGTTTAATTTAAAAATTGGTCTTTCTGTGAGAGGCAGGTGTCTCAGCACCTGCTCCATGAGCCTCCTATGGCAAACCACCCTCCTCCATAGCACTCACTATCTAGGCAATTGTGATTTGTACCACAAGAGCTTATCTCATTCTTCCCCATTCACCTGGAACAGACATACACACAGCTGATTGGAACACAAGACAACTCATAGGCCGGAAGGATAACAGGAGGGAGAAGCAGAAAAAGCAGATACAGACGCCTCAGATCCGAAGACTTCCCAGTTGCAAGCAGTCTCACAATAAAATCCTGTGAAAACAATTAGAACTGTGCCCTTTCAACCAAAACAGACTTGACCACAGCATCTCCTGGGATGCTTACACCTTAGCCTTACCTTTATCTGAGCCATAAGAGAATTGGTCCCTGCAACGGTTAATTTTATGTGTCAATTTAGCTAGGCTATGCTACCCGGACATTTGCTTAAACATTATCCTAGGTGTTTTTGTGAGGGTACGGTTTACACTAATATTTAAATCAGTAGTCTTTGAGTAAAGCCAATTTCCCACCATACAATGGGTGAGCCTAGTCTAGTCAGTTGAAGGCCTTGCTAGAGAAAAGACTGTCCTCTGTTAGGAAAGGGAGTTCTGCCAGCGGAACTCTATCTTTGGACTTGAATGGCAAGTCTTCCCTGGGCCTCCAGCCTGCCAGCCTTCCCTGAAGATTTTGAACCTACCAAGTCTCCATAATCATTTGAGCTAATTCCTTAAAATAAATATTAATCTCTCTTCCCCCAGGACACACACACCTATTGATTCTGTTTTTCTGAAGAACTCTTGACGAATACAGTTTGTGAAAAGGAAGCTGAGGCATCAGTGCATCAGTGGGAACTAAAAGGGTTCCATTAGGAACTGCCTAATGCCCCTGAAGTCCCACTCCACAGGCAGCCACGGTTGGCCAATTCCTTTATAGGACATCAAGTGTGGGGACATCAAGTGTTAGGACATCACGTGTTCCTTTATAGGACATCAAGTGTGGGGGAAAAACCTAGGTGCCATGAGGTTCAGGGGAGCCTCATCCTGGCCCAGTGACTATGATGTGACCTTGGGAAAGTCATCCCACCTCTCTGAGACTTGCAGTCTTTTCTGGAAAACGAGAGGACTGGCTAGATCAGAGCCTGAAAACACATCACATATTGCCTGAAGTAGACATTGTTAAAGGATCCTGGTTTTTTCCCACTGAAATTCAGAAGCATTCTATAATAGTTCTAAACCTGGGGTCCCAGAAAGGCCTTACCAACCAGTCTCAATCGGTTCTTGAGAGAAAGCCTATGTGCAACCCCAGGATGATTTGGTCCCTAAAGACCTCACGGCTAAAAGGAAAGGAAGCCACTGAAACTGCAGCCACAGCTGGGCAGCTTTGTCTGACAAAGGAAACTCCACCTGGGTTGGCAGTGACCGTGAGTATAGGGAAAGCCTCAAAGGCAGCTGTGGGGAGGGCGGAGGCAGAGGTGAGGTGTGTGCTGTCCCCATCCCCGCCGAGCTCTCTCACACGTTCCCAGTCTCTTCTCTAGATCTAGATCTGACCCCTAGTTTGTTTGCAACTCCCCTGTGCCACTTACCCCATTGCCCACCCCGCTCCCCATTCACCTCGGCCAGGCTGATGGAGATGATGAACACAGGGGGCGGGAAGCAGTTAGCTCTCTCCAAGTATGTTCCTCGGGCCTTTTCGGGCAGCATCCATTTTGAGACGATCCTGTGGACCTTTCTACTCTTGGCAGGATCTTTACCTCCCCCATCCTCTCTCATTTTCTCCTCTTCCTCCAGCTCTTCCTTCATCTCTCTCCCCATATTCAGATTCATGCTCTCCATCTCCAGATCATGAACAGCAGCCATTGTCCTGGGTTCTCCCTCCACCCGAGAAGGACATGAATCCCAGGGAACAGCAGGTGGCCCTAGGTCCTCAGGCTGTGGCTCTTCCCTGGGCTGTCTGGCGCAACCACTGCTTTCCAAGGCCTTTCCTGCATGTAAAGAGAAGACAGCTGAAGATGATCAAAATGATCTAAACCTCCTAAATGGCCCAAAATAAAGTTTTCCCTGTAATTGTTTTAAAAAGCATGAGCCAAAGAGCCAGATGACTGAGATTAAAACACAGCTCTACCACGTATCAGCTGTCAGTTAACATCAGGTAAATCACTTAATTAAATTCTCCAAGCCTCAAATTACATATTTCTTAAATTGTGGTGAAATACACATAACATAAAATTTACCATTTTTGCCATTTAATTTTTTTTTTTTTTTTTTGAGTCATTTTGCTCTTTGGCTTAAGCTGCAGTGCAATGGCGAGATATCAGTTCACTGCAACCTCCGCCTCCTGGGTTCAAGCAATTCTTCTGCTTCACCCTCCCTGGCTAATTTTTGTATTTTCAGTAGAAACAGGATTTCACAATGTTGGCCAGGCTGGTCTTGAACTCCTGACCTGAAGTGATCCACCCGCCTTAGCCTCCCAAAGTGCTGGGATTACAGGCATGAGCCACTACACCCGGCCTAGAATGTCCTTTTTTTATGGCTGAATGCTGTTGCGTTATATAGACATGCCACATTTTATTTATCCACTTATCTGTTTATGGACATTTGGGTTGTTTCCACCTTTTGGCTATTGTGAATGAACATCCCTGTACAAGTTTTCTTTCTTTCTTTCTTTCTTTCGACCCAGTAATTCACTCCATAGGTATATGCTGCCCCTCAAACTGGAACAGATGTTTAAAGAAACACTTGTGCCGGGCGCGGTGGCTCACGCCTGTAATCCCAGGCACTTTGGGAGGCCGAGACGTGCGGATCACGAGGCCAGGAGATGGAGCCATACCTGGCTAATATGGTGAAACTCGTTCTACTAATAATAACAAAAAAAAAAAAAAAAAAAAAAAATTAGCGGGCGAGGTGGCGGGCGCCT